TAGCCAACGAGACAAAACCGCTATGGGTAAGCCTAATAGCTTTAAAGTGTGTTTTGTCTTCGTTTAATATGTTTGCTGATTAGTTTGTGTCTTTGAATTGGAAGTGGAAAAAGAAGAGTACAATGAGTTCTACAAAAAAGCTTCCAGTGAGTTCTTGGATCCACTTACTTCACAACAGTGGTCCTTATCCTTAGACATTATTTACATACATGTCAATTTATAAATTCTCCGACTTGTGCTTACTAGTTATATTGTCTTGAATATCAAAGGGTGAGTTCGAATGGTAGGTTCTATACTTGGTTGATGAGGTTGCAATTCAGAATTTACAAACCTACAAAGAAAAGAAGTTGGTTGATATCAGTAAAGAAGATTTGGAACTTAGTAAGTATTATTTTCGTCAAACCTCGTGCATTTTGTTTGTAACAAATTCTGTCTTTTCTCGCAGGAGATGAAGATATATGAAGTAAAGGAAAGGGAAGCTAAAGAAGAGTTTAACCTTCTCTGTGACTGGATAAAACAGCAACTCAGGTGAAAAAGTTGCTAAAGTCCTAAATCGTTTGAGCTCTTCTTCTTGTGTGTTTGTCTCAGGCAAATCGGGTGGTCAGCTAATATGGAAAGGTTAGTATATTAGCAAAAGCAAAGGTTAATACAGAGGCAGGATATTAGCTAATATGGAAAGGTCAAAAATAATTTCCTTAGTAAACCAAAAAATATTGAAAACAAAATTTCATCAAAAAAACAAACGTTTAGATGGAAGAAAAGGTGAAAAAATTCATAAAAAACTAGAGTAATAAGATTGTGTCAAAAAACAATAAGGAGGATTAACTTAGTTTAGAGGTTTATTTTTATTTATTGAATTAATTGGGAGTAAGGTGTTGTAGTTTTAAAATTTTGGTTGGATTTTAGTTGGGTACATATTTGATGGATAATAAGTTTGTGCATGTTATGTTGATATCTTGAATTACTTTAGATGATGTTATCGGGAAGATGAACGTGATAGAAAGAAGTGCTTGATGGTCAAAAAGGAAGCGACAGTGGAGGAGTACGTCGTGGTGGTGTATACGGAGGAGGATACCACAGAGGTTTCCCCAATTTTTGTTTGTCACCACGCCTTCCTTGCGTGTTGTTGTTACTTGTTTTCTTATATTATTATTTGATTCTTTGCATATTACTTGTTCACATGCATTCAAACATGCATACATACACATTCATAATTGCTTCTTTGTTTCATTGTCTTCTTTCTTGTTTCCTTGCTTCTCAGTTTCTTTGTTTCATTGTCTCCTTGCTTCTCTGGTTCTTGATTCATTGTCTTCTTCCTTGCCTCCTTGCTTCTCCGTTTCTTTGTTTCATTGTCTCCTTGCTTCTCGGTTTCTTTGTTCCATTGTCTCCTTGCTTCTCTGTTTCTTTGATTCGTTATCTCCTTCCTTGTTTCCTTGCTTCTCTGTTTCTTTGATTCATTGTCTTCTTCCTTGTTTCCTAGTTTCCTTGCTTCTCTGTTTTTATGATTTATTGTCTTCTTCCTTGTTTCTCTGCTGATTTGCTTCCTTGATTGTACACTTTCATAACTGCTACTTGCTACCTTCTCTTCTCCCTCCATTATTTACTTATTTGCTTCCTTCTTTTATTTCGTCATCCTTAACTTGCGTGCTTATTTGCTCACTAACTGTCTCAGTCTAATGTTCCATATATAGAATTATGTATTTTGCTTTGATAGTGCTGATACTCTACAGAATGGAGACTCGTGAGCGTGATCTGTCAAGAAAATTTTTCCGCGTCCTCATTACTCCATATCTTTTTGTGTATGTGGAACAAGAAAAACTTTTATCCATTTATACCAGCCTCTCAGAAACTTACTTGAAAGACCAAAGATCTCAGGCTCTATGATCATTCTTCTCTCTAAATATTTTATTTGTTGGTTTTAGTTTTCAGGGTTTTCGACATTGAGTCTAGTCTACTCGCAACCAGACTCGGGACTACCACATATCTCTGGCACAAGGTTTGATTCGTTGTCATAGTTTCTATACCAAATCAAATAAGGTATAACTGTCTTAACTAGGCTTAGAATTAATATAAAGTCAGACAAATGTTTCCTAGATATGAAGCTAGTTAGATTTTATAGATATAGAAAGGTAAGATGTTCTGTATTTTGTTCCTCAACTCTGAAGCACTCAGTTTATTTTCCTCCCTAATTTTGTTATTTAGTAGTTTGAATTTTGTCACCAACTGTTTCAGGAAATCATCTAAAGAATATTCATGCTATTGATCTGCAGATTCAGTTTTCTGCCCAAGAATTTGAAACAAACTCCATGGTTCTAATGCTCTGTAAGTGACATGTTGATCTTACTTTAATTCTTGTATATCTTTCTGGCCATGTGTCTACTGAGGTGAAGTCAAAACTTGAGAAACAAAGGCTATGTTACTGCCTCGCTGGTATGGATATTGTTGGAAGTCAAAGAGTTCAAAAGAGGTCTGAACAAAATATCCCAAGATGATACTTAAATTTTTAGTCTTTAGAAAGGAACAAAGAGCTTACATGATCCATATTTGCAGTATGAGTATCTTGTAGGATAAATTTATCCAAGTTTGAGGAGCTTCATCACAAATTCATGAAGTAAAAGGTATTCTTTCGATTTTCCTCTCTCCCCCTCAAGTTCAGTAATGTACGGTGCCACAAAGTTTTCATTCATTAGCTAAGTGGGATGTTACCCAAAAGTAATAATGAACATGTGGTTCTGCTTGGTAGACACTATTTCCAAATTTGAGGAGGACAAGGAGAAGCTCTATATACGATATGAGCAACTAAGTAAGCCAACAAACTCCTTATGAAACCACTGTTAATAAGATGGCAACATTTACTCACTTCCCCCTGTAGAATAACATGTAGGGGAAAAAGAGGTGACAACTGACAAAGATACCTCAATAGGAGAGGTTCTACAAAGAAGATCTTGCTCAGTTGGAAGAATCACTCAAGGTAAGTATTTTCTCTTTTCTTGCTCCTTATTTCAGGTCTATTGCAACAGAGCAAGGTGGATTTTACTCTGCTTTTTTAGTAGCTGAAAAGGTGAAGACTTTAAACTTTTGTTTTTTAGTGTCTTTTGGTTAGTGTAACTGTTATGAGGAGTGGGCTTATAGTTGTTTCTACTTTTCAGATTGTTGTGTCCACCAAAAGCCCTCAATCTGACAAGCAATATGTTTGTGTTTGGGAATCCAAGTAGGTCATATGTGATCAGAGAAGAAACAGACCCTGAAAACATTCTAAGCCGTGGAACCCAAGTTGGTTCTGAGGGTACTTTTCTCTATTCAAGTATTCTCTCATTTGATGTATCGAATATTGAGATCGCTTATAGTTTAGTTGACTGTTTATTCCCGGGTGCAGGACGAGGACAAGTATGAATTTGGGGAGTCTACGAGAATCAAGAATCTTGTTAAGAATTACTCTCAGTTTGTTGGGTTTCCCATGTATACATGACAGGAGAAATAAAGGACTATAGAGGTGAAGATGTCAGATTTGTTTTTAACTATAACAGTGTATTCACGTTGCTTATGTGTTTTGAAACTTTGTTACTCGGTGTAGGTTGAAGAGGAAGATCCAGTGAAGGAAGGAGAATAGGTTAAACTTCGATGGTATTTAATTGTCTGTATAAGCTGTCCAAAATCAAGTACTGTCTTAGACTTTTGTTTGCTAAGTTGATATCTTGTTACTTGTTCGTGTCTAGGGTGAGCCAAAGAAAAAAGAAGACAATTAAAACTGAGAAGTACTGGGATTGGGAACTAGCCAACGAGACAAAACCGCTATGGGTAAGCCTAATAGCTTTAAAGTGTGTTTTGTCTTTGTTCAAAAATGTTTGTTGATTAGTTTGTGTCTTCGAATAGATGCGTAATTCAAAGGAAGTGGCAAAAGAAGAGTACAATGAGTTCTACAAAAAAAAAATTCAGTGAGTTCTTGGATCCACTTGCTCACACGCACTTCACAACAGAGGTCCTTACAGAGGTCACATATATGTCAATTTATAAATTCTCCGACTTGTGCTTACTAGTTATATTGTCTTGAATATCAAAGGGTGAGGTTGAGTTCAGGAGCATTTTGTAACGAGGATGTGAAAAACCCTAAGACAAAGAACATTCGACTTTACGTTAAGCGTGTGTTTATCTCTGACGATTTTGATGGAGAACCTGTGAGTCTTGTGTATATATTAGTTCTTTCTTTTGTAGAACTCTCTATGGATTTCCCCTGGTTACATTTTTGTCTGACCATGTTTCGTAAACTATACGCAGTTCCCAAGATACTTGAACTTTGTGAAGGGTGTGGTGGACTCAGATGATCTTCCTCTTAACGTTTCCAATGAAATTTCTCCAAGAAAGCAGGATTGTAAGTGGTCAACAGTTAGTAGTAATACAAATGTTGATTATATAAGAATCTCACTTCCTATCTAAACTATTTTCTTGATAATATTCAGGTGAGAATCATGAGAAAGAGGCTCATTAGGAAAACCTTTGACAAGCTTGGGTGAATACATCGAGAACATGGGAGAGAACCAAAAGGTGATCTACTACCTTGCAACCGATAGCTTAAAGAGGGCCAAGTCCAAAAAGACATCGAGGTATATGCTTCAAGCTTAGGTTTTCATCTTGAAAAGATATTGTCTTGGCACATGATTCTGGTTTGATTTGTTTTCTTACTGCTGGCTTTTCGAATGGTAGGTTCCATACTTGGTTGATGAGGTTGCAATTCAGAATTTACAAATCTACAAAGAAAAGAAGTTGGTTGATATCAGCAAAGAAGATTTGGAACTTGGTAAGTATTATTTTCGTCAAACCTCGTGCATTTGTTTGTAACAAATTCTCTCTTTTCTCGCAGGAGATGAAGATGAAGTAAAGGATGTGACAGTGGAGGAGTACGTCGTGGTGGTGTATACGGAGGAGGATACCACAGAGGTTTCCTCAATTTTTGTTTGTCACCATGCCTTAGTTCCTTGCGTGTTGTTGTTACTTGTTTTCTTATATTCTTCTTTGATTCTTTGCATATTTACTTGTTCACTTGCATTCAAACATGCTTACATACACATTCATAATTGCTTCTTTGTTTCATTGTCTTCTTCCTTGTTTCCTTGCTACTCTGTTTCTTTGTTTCATTGTCTCCTTGCTTCTCTGGTTCTTGATTCATTGCCTTCTTCCTCGTTTCTGCTACTCTGTTTCTTTGTTTCATTGTCTCCTTGCTTCTCTGGTTCTTGATTCATTGTCTTCTTCCTTGTTTCCTTGCTACTCTGTTTCTTTGATTCATTGTCTTCTTCCTTGTTTCCTTGCTACTCTGTTTCTTTGATTCATTGTCTCCTTGCTTCTCTGGTTCTTGATTCATTGTCTTCTTCCTTGTTTCCTTGCTACTCTGTTTCTTTGTTTCATTGTCTCCTTGCTTCTCTGTTTCTTTGATTCATTGTCTCCTTGCTTCTCTGTTTTTTTTTTTTTTTTTTGAACTTCTGGTTATTGTTAATTAAAGAGTTTGAACGTGATGAAAATGCAAGTAATAAATAAGTAAACAAGGAACATATGATGATATAAGAAATTAGAATACACCTTTTCAAAAGATTTTGCAAGCAAATCCGCTGGTTGTTTGATCTTGATGTCCAACAGAATTGAGTAATATTCACAAATTGATTCTCCTAATGATTTGCTTCCCGAATCCAATTGTTTAAACTAATGAGATTTTTCTTGTTCTTAATGCTAATGGGAAATAATGTAATATTCTACATTTTGGGAAGTCATTTTTCAAAATGTCTTCCCAAATAAGAGTAGTAGGGTGGCAAAACATTGTAGTTCATTCTGTTTTAATATTAAAATTTAATATATATATATATATATATAATATTGTATATAATATTGTATATATAATATTGTATATATAATATATAATTTAATATGTATATATAATATTGTATATAATCATAGTTGAAGATTAACTGGTTAAAAATGAATGAATGTGAAAAAAAAAACTAACAAGATTTTTGTAACCAAATATAAAATTTCTAAATATCATATTTTTAGTATATATTTCAGTTAATTTTTTTTGGTTACATAGATAGTATGATATAAGTTAGAGATTATGTTTGATTATAAGGACATAAATTTCAATTTTTTTGATATTTTAACCCTTAAAGAGATTATCTATAAGAAATTCTGACTGCCTATAGTAATAAAAACATATAAACTTATATATTTATCAAAAATAATATTAAATATACTAGTTTAATGTGATGGTTACAATTGAGTTTCCACAAATTAAATGCTTCTTGATTTTATCCTTTTTCTTCATTAGATTTATGTATACATAATATTATTAATATTATGTATACATAATTTTGTTATCATATATAGTTGTTAACTTGTTATAAACTAATGTTGAAGGGCATCTTGTGGACTAGGCCTGGGCAAAAATCCGAAATCCAAAAACCAAACCCGAACCCGAACCGAAAAACCCAAACCCGATCCGAACCCGTTACTGACAAATATCCGATAGGGGGCTAGTGTCTTGGTAGTTCGGGTTCGGTTTCGGTTATATCCGAAAACCCGAACATACCCGAATGTATATATACACATATATTATATGTACATAAGATACATTACCTACTGTACTAGACTATAAGTTATACAAACGGTTGAGAGACTTGGGCGGTTGCAGTAATCACTTTTTCACTAAATCTTCAAAGTTTTTCTTCTTCTCCTTCTGAGATCTCAAGTAATCCCTTTTATTTGCAGCACAATTTGCGTTTTTTTGTTCTTCTTCTAATTATTAGGTTCGAGGCTAACTTGAAGTTGAATCTCTCTTTTATTTGTTTCATGGATTTGTGTTTTTTTTTTTTTGTTGAATGTAGGATTTTATGAATTATGTATTATGAATTTTAGGACATAGTTTGGTTTTTTCTTTTTAATGATAATGGTTACTTTGAATGCATAATAACCGAACCGAACCCGAAGTAATCCGAACCAAACACGATCCGAACATATAAAATATCTGAATGGAGGCTCGAGGTGTACACCCGAAAAACCGAAAAACCGAACAAACCGAACCGAACCCGAATGGACATCCAAACGCCCATGCCTATTGTGGACCCCTGCTCTGTCGGGTATCCGATAGCTAACACGTGGACCCTTGCCCTATCGTCAAGCGTTGGGATACCTGGATTATCACAAAAAAGTATATATAGTACCATGAATACACCAAGTTAACAAAACAAAACAACTTCAAATAAAAAGAAAAATGAAAAGCCTTTTAGTGTTTCTATTTGTTTTTAGCATTTACATGCTTGGCTACGTATCAGGTAGAGCCGAAGTCAGAATCACGAATGAACTTAAATTCCAGAAACGCTTATGGATGAAGTGTTATTCCAAAGATAACGTAATTGGCCCGACTATCATACCAATTGGACAATATTCTAAAATTCGTTTTCTGGCTAACCTTTGGGGTACGTCTCGTTACATGTGTACATTGAAACAAGGACCTAACTATAAACACTATCAGAATTTTACAGCATTTAAGCAATTATATTGGTCTGATTATGGAGGCACATGGTATTGGGGAGCCAGAGAAGATGGTATCTATTTAAAGAGAGAAGGTGGCGAGAAACCGATCGATTTATATAAAGCATATGATTGGATAAATTAAAATTGGATAACGATAGCTTTAACATGTATTTGATTAAAAAGACAAAATGATATATATCATAGTTGAATATTTACAACTTAAACTAGATTACACATTGTTTTCCCCCTTAAATTTAAATCTTTTGGATTTCCAAGTTCCAACAACAATATTTATTTCCATATTTCTTAGATCATCTTACAATCTCTTTCTTGCAAATATCTAAATAATTATATGTATTTCTTGCAAAATCAGAAAATCCGAATAACATGACTCAGATTACACCTTTCATGCCCACAAAACTTATGATTGAAAGAAACACGATACCTTTTAGAGTACCGACATCATATACGTCTTGTAAAAACCTTATGAGGTCCGTAAGTTTTTTTCATATAATTAAGCCTGTTTCAAAAAAAAAAAAAATTATACGTATAACTTTTACTAAATTAGATAAAATTGATTAAAAAAAAAAAGAGCTTCTTATACTATCAATAAATATAACGTGCACACAAAGTTTACAGCTTATATACTTTTTTTGAAAGTGAATTTTATAAAAGAAAAAAAATCATATGGAACAACATAGAAGATGTTGAGAACTCTTGTTTGTACAGCCGTTGGATTAAAACTGTAAGAATTAAAAAAGAAAGTATCGGTTATGAATTTGATTTGGTTTGGTTTAATTGTAGATTGTGGTTTACTTTAAATTAACGACACGTCATCACTCTTCAAAACGGTCATAAACCGTGGTGCGTGAAACGTGATTTTAAATTCGAAACCCAAACCCAGAAATAAATCACCGACTCAGAGCAAAAATTCTCTTCTATGCGTTGAGACGCAACACAACGGTCATGAAGGGATTGAACGGAGACGGAGACGGACGGCGGAGGGAGACGCACGGCGGAGGAATCGTGAAGGGATTGAACCCTATCTTGTTCGTAACGTACATCATCTTCGATCTTCCTATTCTGTGACTCTCTAATTTTGTTACTATATCTGATTATCGATGATGATCAACCGACGACACAGGGACAGACGGAGGAGGATGGAGTCGAAGATAGATTGACGGAGACGGACGGCGGAGGGAGACGCACGGCGGAGGAATCGTGAAGGGATTGAACCCTAACTTGTTCGTAAGTTACGTACATCATCTTTGATCTTCTTTTGTTACTATATCTGATTATGAACCCTAACTTGTTCGTAAGTTAGGTACATCATCTTTGATCTTTCTTATTCTGAATTTGAACCTTAGGGGTCTTTCTTTGTGATTCTTTCTGTGCTTTGTTGGGTTTTTCAAAGATCAGATCACAATTCAACGAGTCTGAACCCAAAACATGAATCGTGAACGGTATATTAATTTCTCTTTAAGTCTATTTATACATGTTCTGATTGATTTTGGTATCAAGCTACTCATAATAAGTTTGTGCATGTTATGTTGATCTATTGAATTACTTTGGATGATGTTATCGGGAAGATGAAAGTGCTTGATGTACAAAAAGGATGTGACAGTGGTTGTGGTGTATACGGAGGAGGAGGATACACAGAGGTTTCCCCAATTTTTGATTGTCACCATTCCTTAGTTCCTTGCGTGTTGTTGTTACTTGTTTTCTTATATTCTTCTTTGATTCTTTGCATATTTACTTGTTCACATGCATTCAAACATGCATACATACACATTCGTAATTGCTTCTTTGTTTCATTGTCTTCTTCCTTGTTTCCTTGCTTCTCTGTTTCTTTGATTCATTGTCTCCCTGCTTCTCTGTTTCTCTGGTTCTTGATTCATTGTCTTCCTCCCTGTTTCCTTGCTTCTCTGTTTCTTTGTTTCATTGTCTCCTTCCCTGTTTCCTTGCTTCTCTGTTTCTTTGTTTCATTTGTCTACTTCCTTGTTTCCTTGTTTCCTTGCTTCTCTGTTTCTATGATTTATTGTCTTCTTCCTTGTTTCTTTGCTTCTTTGCTTCCTTGATTGTACATTTTCATAACTGCTACTTGCTACCTTCTTTTCTGCCTCCATTATTTACTTATTCGCTTCCTTCTTTTATTTCGTCATCCATTGTTTCATTACCATCCTTAACTTGCGTGCTTATTTGCTCACTAACTGTCTCAGTCTAATGTTCCATAAGAATTATGTATTTTGCTTTGATAGTGATAATACTTTACAGAATGGAGACTCTTGAGCGTGATCTGTCAAGAAAATTTCTGCGTCCTCATTACTCTTTCTACCACATAGACCATTTCTTTTTGTGTATGTGGAACAAGAACAACTTTTATCCATTTATACCAGCCTCTCAGAAATTTACTTGAAAGACCAAAGATCAGGTTCTATGACCATTCTTCTCTCTACATATTTTGTTTGTTGGTTTTAAGTTTTCAGGGTTTGCGACATTGAGTCTTGTCTACTCGCAACCAGACTCGGGACTACCGCATATCTCTGGCACAAGGTTTGAGTACGTGTTTTCCCCAAAATATGCAACAGGTTGATTTGATGTCATAGTTTCTATACCAAATCAGATAAGGTATAACTGTCTTAACTAGGCTTAGAATTAATATAAAGTCAGAAAAGTGTCATAGTTAGATATTGTAGATATAGATAGTTAAGATGTTCTCTATCAATTTGTGCTTTAGTGAAGAATTTGTATTCTCTATCAATTTTGTTCCTCAACGCTGAAGCACTCAGTTGATTTTCCTCGTTAATCATCTAAAGAAGATGAAACAAACTCCATGGTTCTAATGCTCTGTAAGTGACAGCTAAATCTTACTTTAATTCTTGTATATCTTTCTGGTCATGTGTCCACTAAGGTGAAGTCAAAACTTGAGAAACAAAGGCTATGTTACTGCCTCGCTGGTATGGATATTGTTGGAAGTCAAAGAGTTCAAAAGAGGTCTGAACAAAATATCCCAAGATGATACTTAAATTTTTAGTCTTTAGAAAGGAACAAAGAGCTGACATGATCCATATTTGCAGTGTGAGTATCTTGTCGGATAACGTCTCTTCATATGACACTAAAAGGTAAAAGAACTATGAACCTTTTATTCTCTTCTATTTTATAGTTTGAAATGAATGTTTGAGTACATTATAGTATGATCCACCACAAATTAGCTAATCTATCTGCCATTTACAATGTTGTTTGTTATTAAACCTTATCATTTCTAAAATCTATAAGCAGTGGCAGAAGTCTCACCTTGGAGTTAAAACAAGCGAACTCCACTTGTAAGTTGTCATTTATTTGATCTCGTAATTATTTTTAATGCATAGGTGTTGTTTCACTAATGGTACACTATTTCATTTGTAGACTGTTGTGGGTTTTACTCTGCTTTTCTTAGTTGCTGAAAAGGTGAAGACTTTAAACTTTTGTTGTTAGTGTCTTTTGGTTAGTGTAACTGTTCTGAGGAGTGGGCTGATAGTTGTTTCTACTTTTCAGATTGTTGTGTCCATCAAAGCCCTAAATCTGACAAGCAATATGTTTGGGAATCGGTAGCTGATAGTAGCTCATATGTGATCAAAGAAGAAACAGACCCTGAAAACATTCTCTATTCAAGTATTCTTACATTTGATCTATATAGTTTAGTTGACTGTTTATTCCCGGGTGCAGGACGATGACAAGTATGAATTTGAGGAGACTACGAGGATCAAGAATCTTGTTAAGAATTACTCTCAGTTTGCTGGGTTTTCCATCTATACATGGCAGGAGAAATCAAGGACTATAGAGGTGAGGATGTCAGCTTTTTTTTTAACTATAACAGTGTATTCACGTTGCTTATGTGTTTTGACACTTTGAAGAGGAAGAACCAGTGAAGGAAGGAGAAGGGGTAAAACTTTTATGGTTTTTAAAGTGTGTTTTGTCTTCGTTCTAAATATTTGCTGATTAGTTTGTCTCTTTGAATAGGAAGTAGAAAAAGAAGAGTACAATAAGTTCTACAAAAAAGCTTTCAGTGAGATCTTGGATCCGCTTCCTCACACGCACTTCACAACAGAGGTCCTTAATCCTTATACACTTTTTACATACATGTCAATTTATAAATTCTCCGACTTGTGCTTACTTGTTATATTGTCTTGAATATCAAAGGGTGAGGTTTGAGTTCAGGAGCATTTTGTAACAACGAGGATGTGAAAAACCCTAAGACAAAGAACATTCGACTTTACGTGAAGCGTGTGTTTATCTCTGACGATTTTGATGGAGAACCTGTGAGTGTTGTGTATATATTAGTTCTTTCTTTTGTAGAACTCTCTATGGATTTCCCCTGGTTACATTTTTGTCTGACCATGTTTCGTAATCTATACGCAGTTCCCAAGATGATCTTCCTCTTAACGTTTCCAATGAAATTTCTCCAAGAAAGCAGGATTGTAAGTGGTCAACAGTTAGTAGTAATACAAATGTTGATTATATAAGAATCTCACCTCCTATCTAAACTATTTTCTTGATAATATTCAGGTAAGAATCATGAGAAAGGGTCTCATTAGGAAAACCTTTGACAAGCTTGGGTGAATATATCGAGAACATGGGAGAGAACCAAAAGGTGATCTACTACCTTGCAACCGATAGCTTAAAGAGTGCCAAGTCCGCCCCTTTCTTGGAAAAACTAATCCAAAAAGACATCGAGGTATATGCTTCAAGCTTAGGTTTTGCTTGGCACATGATTCTTGTTTGATTTGTTTTCTTACTGCTGGCTTTTCGAATGGTAGGTTCTATACTTGGTTGATGAGGTTGCAATTCAGAATTTACAAATCTACAAAGAAAAGAAGTTGGTTGATATCAGCAAAGAAGATTTGGAACTTGGTAAGTATTATTTTCGTCAAACCTCGTGCATTTGTTTGTAACAAATTCTCTCTTTTCTCGCAGGAGATGAAGATGAAGTAAAGGATGTGACAGTGGAGGAGTACGTCGTGGTGGTGTATACGGAGGAGGATACCA